TAACACATTGTTGTTGTTAGTTGCGAAGTCATGTCCGACTCATCACGACCCCATGGACAACATTCCTCTAGGCCTTCCTGTCCTCTACCATCCTCTGGAGTCCATTTAAGCTCATGCCTACTGCTTCAGTGACTCCATCATGCCACCTCATTCTCTGTCGCCCCCTTCTTCTTTTGCCTTCAGTCTTTCCCAGCATTAGGCTCTTCTCCAGTGAGTCCTTTCTAACACGTGCCATATGCTAAAAAGAAAAAAGGAAAAGGAAAAACCCCAATTCCAGCAACCGTTCTTCATATGTTTTAGCCTCCAGTCCCCTAATCATCACTGTTGCTCTTCTCTGCATTCTTTCTAGAGTCTCCACATCTTTTCTACATTGTGGTGACCAAAGCTGGATGCAGTATTCAAAGTGTGGCCTTACCAAGGCCTTATAAAGTGATATTAACCCTTCATGTGATCTTGATTCTATCCCTCTGTTAATGCAGCCTAGAACTGTGTTGGCTTTTTTGACAAGGACATTTGTGACAGGAAACCGCACAGCGTTATCAATTCCAAGATCGCAAAAAGATTGAGGGTAAGCAGACAAAACGGGGTAAACACAACCTCAATTTACAACCACAATTGGGACAGAATTTCTGTTGCTAAGGACAGTTGTTATGAATCACACCTGTTTAATGACATTTTTGCCAGTTGTTAAGTGAATCACTGTAATTCTTAAATGAATTGTTTGGTCATTAAGTGAATCCAGCTTTCCCCATTGATTTCAGTTGCTGGAAGATGGCTGGGAAGGCTGCAAATGGGGATCATATGACCCTGGGACACTGCAAACATCATAAACGTGTGCCAGTTGCCAAGAACCTGAAGTCAGATCATGTGAACATGGGGTTGTCACTGCAAGCACCAGTCATTTTTTTTCACTGCTGTTGTAATTTTGAATGGTTGCTAAACAAATGGTTGTAAGTCGAGGACTGGTTATATATGGCAAGTGAAATTGTAGGTGCTCAACCACTCCTCTCCTCCTGATTGGCAACTCTTTCCATTACTATAAGAATAATTCACAGAAATTAAATTAAAAGCAAACTCACAGAGTTTTATTACACCCAGAAACATGAAAGCAAGCACCTCCAGCAACCCGTATGGGATCAGAGTCTAAGCCCAGGGTACTAATGGGGTAAGGCAGGAGTTCCTTCCCCTTGTATCTGCACCCATAGTTCCATTCCATCCTCCTCTCTCGGCTTATCTTCTTCATTATTGTTAGTATTTGCGCTGACGAAGGAAGAGACCAGAGGGCCGTTTTGGAGTGGGTACATCATCTGAATCAAGGTCGAAGAGGTCACAGCCGGTCTTCATAATTTGCTCCTCCAGCACTTTGTGGCGCTTCATGTCTGACAGCACCTTGTCCAGGCGAGCTTCTCTTTTCTGACTCTTAGCTACCGTGCCTGGAAATTAATCAGAAATCAGGATTGGACGATGAAGTTCATACATCAAACTAGCTTAATAGGCCTGCGAGGTAAAAATAGCGTGCAATCTTTGCTCTTCTTACAGAGAATTGTAAAATAATTAAAAACCACAAGGAAGCAGGTGGGAGAAAACTGCCCAGCAACAGAATTTATTTGTTGGGTTAAGAAACTGACATCTTTGCTACCTAAATAATACAATTTTATACAGATAGTCCTCGATTTACAACCATTGGTTCAGAGACTGTTCAAAAGTTACGGCACTGAGAAAAGTGACTTATGACTAGTCCTCTTACTTAGGACCTTTGCTACATCCCTGGGGTCACATGACCAACATTTAGATGCTTGGCAAGTAGGTACAGCATCCTGGGGTCACGTGACTATTTGCGACCTTTCCAGTCAGCTTCTGACAAGCAAAGTCAATGCAGGAAACTGGATTTCCTTCATGATCATGTGATTCGCTGAACACCTGCAGTGAGTTGCTTAACAACTTTGGCAAAAAAATAAATAAAAATGTCATAAAATCAGGTGCGACTCACTTAACAACCGAATGGCTTAGCAATGAAAATTCTCGTCCCAATTGTGGAAGCAAGTTGAGCACTGCCAGTACTACTTCTCAGCAATTAAGGTACTTCAAAAAGTGAATGTTACAACACAAGAGGTGATTTAATTTTTTCTTTTGTCTAGGATCCTCTTTCTAAAAATTTACTATTTTTAATAAACCCTAAGTGGGAAATGTGGATGAAAGACATGACTCTGAAAATATAACCATTTTATTTACACACACACAAACACACACACACACACACACACACACACACACGTACTGAGTCAGTATTGATCCCTGGGGATTGCCTAGGCAAGTCCCTGCAGTTTTCTTGGCAAGGTTTTTCAGAAGTGGTTTGCCATTGCTTCCTTCCTAGGGTTGAGAGAGAGGGACTGGCACAAGGTTATCCAGCTGGCTATATGCCTAGGGTGGAACTAAAGCTCCTGGTCTCCCAGTTTCTAACCTGGTCCCTTAACCGCTCACCTCTCTGGAGTTTTTGACTTCAATAAAAATGATTAAATGGGTATGATGTATAAAAATTATGCAAGGGAGGAAGTGTTTCTTTCCTTTTCTCACGTACATAAGCTAGAAGTGCCAACAAATGATGAGAGATTCAGGACAGCCAAGAGGAAGTAGTTCTTCAATCAACTCAGAGGAGGGATGACTACCAACTTTGCATTACACAAGGATCAGACACCAAGTCATGGAGAATGATTACACTGTTCAATACCTGCTACTCATGATGGCTGAACATTATCAGTCATGAATCACGTCTTTTTGTAACTTCAAACAGTTGCTAAAAGAATGTAAGTTGAGGACTATCTGTATACGGCAAGTGAAATTGGTCAACAATTGCTCCTCTCCAGACTTGCTAAACAAACGGTTGATTATATCTGGATTATGATGATATGAATATGACGGTGCAGTGATTAGAACGCAGTAATGCAGGTTAACTCTGCCGACTGTCAGCAATTCGATCTTGACTGGTTCAAGGCTGAGTCAGCCTTCCCGCTTGGAGGCCAGTAAAATGAGGACCCAGATTGTTGGGGGCAATATGCTGACTCTGTAAACCACTTAGAGGGGGCTGTAAAGCATTGTAATGCGGTATATATGTCTAAGCGCTATTCCTATTTGCAATTGGGAACACAGAGGGAAGGTCCTATTGCACTCATACCCAGCTTGTGGGCATAAGCAACTGGTGGGCCAGTTTGGGGGGGGGGCAGAATGATATACTCCATAATTCATTGGCTTGGCAATGCTCTTCTTATGGAAACTCAATTGCCTTCCTTACGTACCAGGAGTTCTCCGTCGATCAATCAAGGAGCTTTTGGGAGTGGCAGGCTCATCATCAAAGTCGAATTCAGTAGGCACATGAGGCCTGGAACAAACAGAGGGAGGGGGAAAAAATCAACAGCAATATTCTCAAGCCTATCATTCTTCCCCTTAACATAACTTCAAATCTTAAGATTCCTCCCTCCTTTAAGCCAAATACAAAAACTAATTTCTCACTTCTCCTCCTCTTCTTCTTCTTGGTGTTCAGATTGTCCATCAGATTTATCCTCATCTTCACTGTCAGGCTCTGGGGTTGGGTTGCGCCGAGGGAGGATTTCGGCCTGAATCTCCAGAGTCCCATGCTCAGCAATGAGCTCATATAAACGACGGATCTCCTTGGGTTCAGGCATCCAGTTATCTGGAGAATCCAGCTCCTCATCACTGCAGGGGACGCACCAATCCTCTTCAGCAGATTCTTCTCCCTTGCCTGATAATTCCCCCTCAGTTTCTCTGGCAGCGTCATCTTGTTCCTCAGTGGCAGAAGCTAAATCCGGACCAGGCCCATCTTCTACTGCCAAGGATTGCATCCCTGAGGTCACTTCCCCTTCCTCCACAGTGCTGGCTTCTTCCATGGCTATAATAAAGAAAAGATGAGACCAGAGGAGAAGCACAAATATGGCGAATTCTGGGGTGTCAAGAATCTGAGATAACTGGCTAAACATAACGAGATATAACACTGTAGCTACTCTACAGCTACAGTAGCGTATCCCAAAATGAAGAAAAGCACAAAATAATGTTGTGTTATTGAAAACGTAAAATAAAGAAGTCCTTGCAGAGTTTATTCCACTAGTCATTGCTGACTATAGGGAGCAGTGCTCATCTCCATTTCAAAGCCATTGAGCCAGCACTGTCAAAGCAAAGAAATGTCCACGGTTATGTGGCCAGGATGATGTCACAGAGCACTGTTACCTTCCCACCAAAGTGGTACCTATTTATCTACTCACATTTGCATGTTTCAAACTGCTAGGTTGGCGAGAGCTGGGGCGAGGATGGGAACTCGCCCTATCTTGTGCTCAGGTCTTGAACAACTAACAAGCCAAGCATCTTAAGTTCTGGTTCACAATAAGCAGAATTTTTTATCATCTACCAATCCAAAATAGATTTATGCACTAATGAAACATCTATCAAAATAGGAAAGAAAATGGCTTCCAGGAGAAGTATGGTGAACTCTTGCTCTTCATGAAGAGACAGCAGGACATCATTGCCCATGTGTTTGAGTTCAGGGAGACAACGGAATTAGCCATCTTGTTCACAATCATGGCGAAGCCTTGTAAAGGACTCTACGTTTACAAATCTCCCTTTCTAATGACTTTCAGAAATACTCTGCTAACTATTCAGAAGATATTAGAAGCCTTTGGAATGACAGCAGTTGAAAAGTCTTCATTGGGTGGGTTTATTTTCAACTCTGAACAAACAAATTAATTACAAGGTTAAGAACATAACTTTTTTGAAATAAACAGCAAAAAGCTAAATATGATTTTGATCTAAAAAGTCAGAAATGGATGTAAGGGCCCAGGTAATTTGGAATATTGACTTTTGCTATAAGCTTTTGGAATTAACTACACAAAAAAGCAACTTCTCATGCAAAACATACTTACTTTGGTTAGGTTTTAATAATACTATGCTATTATGCCTCCAAGATATTGCAAGAAAGGGCAAGAAGGTTTTTTAAAAGACCTTTCCACTGGGGGAATTAAAAGCAGTATATAAAGATGGTTTTGATTCCAGTGATTTTTCAAGAGATGGAAGTCATGATGAAAGCCTATAGTAATTTAGAAATATATATACTATTATCACAAAAAAAAACATTTAAAAACATTACAAATGCAGATGAAATTGCAATCTTCGCCATTCAGTTGCTAAAGGGTTGCTATATTGGCAGGAGACAAACATCACAATCCTAAAGAAATCTAAACAGGTCTAAATATCTTCATGTTCAGGTGGATTCCTGTCAAATTAGTATATATACCAGTAGTCCGATTATTCAAAATTAATCACCTACTCCAAGTTTGAAGAGGGCAGTATAGACATATAAAGCAGATATATGAACTATGAGTTCACAGGATCTCTTCATGTCAGGCCTCTTATTTTTAATCATAGGCAATACTAATATAACAACTCACTAGAAATGTTGTACCAATTCAGTCAAATTGGCGTAGTGGTTCAGGCACTAGGCTAGAAACAGGAGAACTTGTGTTTTAGTCCTGTTTTAGTCCTGAAAGTTGGCTGAGTGAATTTGGGCCCGTCAACACACTCTCAGCCTAATCTATCTAACAGTTTGTTGTTGTAGGGAAAATAAGAGTAGTAGTATTAGGTATGTTCCCCATCTTGAGTTATTTATAAAATAAAGGTAGGATAAAAATGTAATTATCAATAGCTAGAATGCATACACAAAATGTTGCCCACTTGAAAACTCTGTACAAATACAGGTAGTCCTCAACTTACAAGAGTTCATTTAGTGACCATTCAAAGTTACAAAGGCACTGAAAAAAGTGACATAACTTTTTTCATTTACTACCATTGCCGCGTCCCCTAGTCAGTGATCAAAATTCAGATGCTTGACAACTGACTCTTTATGAAGGCTGCAGTGCCCCAAGGTCATCTGATCCCTTTTTGCGACCTTCTGACAAGCCAAGTCAACCGGGAAGGCAGATTTGCTTAACCGGGTTAGTAATGAATCAACCACAGTGATTCACTTAACAAAAGTGGCAAGAAAAGTTGTAAAATGGGGCAAAAGCCACTTAACAAATGTCTCACTTGGCCACAGCAATTTTGGGCTCAATTGTGGTCGTACGTTGAGGACTACCTGTATTTCCTCATGGTTATCACTTAATGGAAGTGAACAGAAGGAACCGAAGCTAAACAGGTTTTTTACATCTGCATCATACTAAACCACATTCATATCTTGAAGAAAAGAAAAGAAAACCCCCTGGAGCCATGTTTTTTTTTTTTTTCTGAAGACCTACCCCAAAATCTCCAAATGTTAACCGTGAGGACGTGTCAAACGAAGTTAAGGATTTCGGTACAGGAGTTAAAAGCGCAGCCTTAAAAGCTCCAGTCCTGTGTTCAAGTCCGGAGTGGTTGTACATGAGATACTCACGGGACCAAAATAATTTAACTGCTTTGCAAAAAAAAAAGCAGATGCCTCGGATTTAAATCTTAGGCCAATAAAAGAGCGGCGAACCCGCTGCCTTTTTGAGAAACGGCATTCTGTGTATGCTTAGAGGCACTTAGGGGTTCCAAGGGGCGGCGCTAATCCCCAAGCACGCAAACGGAGTCGGCGATTCCACCGCCCCATCGACGCATCGGAGCTCGCGAATGCTCTTATCCCCCCCCCCCACTTTCCCCTCTAGCGAGGCTGTAAAAGTCGAGCCCAGCACAATCGATCGCAACTTCGAGGCGGTGAATCCAATCCCGCCCCCTGAGCGTTAGGGGGGGGGGGGAGAATAAACGCTCCAGCCTGGCTTGGGTGGTGCATTGCGCATGCCGATTTTTTAAAAAAATCGGATTTTGTCCGGTCTCTCTAACAACCATCTTTTTTTTTTAAATTTCAACTGTTTATTTTCCCATGTTTTCATACAACATTAGAGATTAAAAACTATTACGAGAGACCAAAAAAAAACCTCACTTAAAATGTATTTATATGAAAAGTGCGAGAAGGGGCGGCTCCAGCTATTGAACATTGGTGTGGCAGAAATCATGTCCCAATAGAAGAGAGATCGGTTCTTTTAAGGTTTCTAATCGCAATACACAAAAAAAAGGGAATCTGGAAAATTCGTTCAATGTCAAATAGATCAGTGTTTCTCAACCTTGGTGACTTTCAGTCCTGTGGACTTCAACTCCCAGAATTCCCCCAGCCAGCTATGCTGGCTGGGGGATTCTGGGAGTTGAAGTCCAAAGGACTGAAAGTTGCCAAGGTTGGGAAACACTGAAATAGATGTTTATTAAGAATGAGTTCACGTGACACGCCTCCCACGCCCTACGTAGTATTTCCGTCCCGAATTTATCGTTGTTTTACTGCGCATACGTATACGTCTCCCAAACGGCTTTTTGTTCCAATGCGCATGCGCACATTTCCGTTCCAGTTTCCTCCCCCACCCCCTTCCTACGGCTCTATGGCTGGTCACACTCGAGAGAGCGATGCGCGTGCGCAGGTGGCAAACGCTCGCTTCTTCTCTTTTCTCCCATTGGTCAGCTTCCCGTTACGGGGCAGGTTAAGCGCCAAATTAAAACGGAGATTTGGGATTCGATTTATACACAGGGCGGAGGAGTTTGGACTTGGTAACGGGTGAGTGCAATGTGTGGCTGGGACACTTAATTTTTTTTAAAATTGGCATTTGGAAGTAAATCCCATTTTAGATGCTTACAAAGAAATCCAAGTCCCATCAAAAGCCTCCTTGCAAAATAGGGCTTTGATCAGACATCAGAGGGTTTTTTGCGTCCCAAAATAAAGTCAGTTCCTTAAATTTCATTAAGTAGCTTCATGCAAGATTGATCGCCTGTCGATTTTTTTTTTCCGAAATGCATGTTCCATTTTCCTTGATTGCTAAGGGTGGATGAGTGGGTAAGGGTGGATGAGTGAGTGTGTGCCCATGTATGAAAGAGCAAATAAACATGCATTGCAACCAGTAAAGTTTGCTGTTTATTGAATTTTCATGTATTCTAAAATCAGGGGCTGCCCAATCCCTAGTCCGTGAACTGGTAATGGGATGCGGCATGCCAGAAACAAAGCCACACAAACAAGTGAAGCCCCATCCATGGGATCAAGCCAGCATGCAAAACCATGCCCCCCTTTAGTCCATGAAAAAACCTCTCCATGGAAATCCGATCCTTGGTGCCCAAAAGGCTGAGGGCCACTGTTCTAAAAAACCAGTTGTGCCATGGTGTTGAATTGAAGATGATTTGAGTGTGGCAGCTTGACTAAATGCTGAATGCGCACAGAATGCTGTTACCTTCCTACCCAAAGGTGGTTCCTATTTTTTCTACTTGCATTTTTACTTGCTTTCAAACTACTAGATTTAGATTTAGATTTTAGATTTAGATTTTATTAACATTTATAGGCCACCCTTTTCCCTGAGGGGACTCAGGGCGGCTTACATAAAATAGGGAGGGGGGGGGTACAAAACAATAAACATAAAACAATACATGAGAGTAAAATAGTACACAACATTCATTCATCATCCGGGTGGGGACAGATTGTGGTCTTTATCCCCAGGCCTGACGGGATAGCCAGGTCTTGAGGGCTGTGCGGAAGGTCTGGACGGTGGTGAGGGTACGAATCTCCACGGGGAGATCGTTCCAAACGGTCGGAGCTACTCCTCCGTGTGGTTGCCAGTCGACACTGACTGGCAGATGGAACTCGGAGGAGGCCTAATCTATGTGATCTTATTGGTCGCAAGGAGGTAATTGGCAGGAGGCGGTCTCTCAAGTACGCAGATCCACTACCATGAAGGGCTTTATGAGTGGTAAGTAGCACCTTGAAGCGCACCCGGAGATCGACAGGTAGCCAGCGCAGCTCGCGGAGGATAGGTTGGCAGAAGCTGGGACAAGTAACGGGAGCTCACTCTGTTACACGGTGCTGGGGATTCAAACTGCTGAACTGCCGACCTTTCTGATCAACCAGCTCAGCTAATTAGCCATTGAGCCACCACTTCCCTTATTGTAATATATACATTGGCTAATACATTTGTTCAATCCTATATTTTTTTTCCCCTCACAGGTCCTCATGGCAACTCATCAACGATTAAGCAGGGCTGACTTCCACCGCTCTGATAATGTCTCAGAGCAAGTACAGGTTTGTGTACGACTACGTCCAGCTGTGGGGACTGGACAAGATCAAGAAGCTTCATGTGTACGACGTGTGGACTCCCACTCTTTGGAAATCCTCAACTGGAAAAATGAGATGGAGTCTGTGAAATACAAGTAAGTTGGGCAGGGGGTTCAATAAATTTGAATGACTCTTAGTGTGCCTAATTTTTGACAGGGGTTCAACTCTGCTGCATGAGCAATGACAGATGCTTTTACTTCTGGGTCATGCTACGTTTTATGATTAGTCTCTTTACATGCACATATTATGGGAATAACTACTCCGATGCATTGTATGGACAAAATCAGTTTGATCTAGTGGTTAAGATACCAGAAGACATCAAGACATCTGCCTTAGAAATGAAATCCAATTGGGTGACTTTGGGCCAGCTCAACCAATCTCCCAGGATTGCTGTGGGGAAAATAGAAGGAAGAAGATGTCCACACTCAAGGAGTATGCTTACTGCCTTGAATTATTAATAAATAATAATAAAGGCAGGGTATAAATAATAACATGTTAGTAATCTGTTGTGGTTCAAAGCTGCAAGGGAAAGGAGTCCAAGAGCCACATAAGAATAAACACATGGGATAGATAATTGTATTAATATATGAAGGTGGGTAATTTATGCCTTGCATTAAACGTCAGCAAGTATTTCTAATTGCAGAGGAGTATGGGAATTGTAAACAGATTATATACTTTTGTATTAAAACAAACTTTATATCTGGATTTGCTGTTCCATTTTTCAAGACAGCTAAAGAAAAAAATTCAGAGGAGCCAGTAAGACTCTGTCCTGCCTTCCTTTCACATTCACCCGTTCTTCACCAGGTTTGATGCGTTTTATGGTGAGACAGCCACCCAATGGGATGTCTACACGGGGTCAGTTAAGCCTGTTTTACACCATCTGCTGAAGGGGCAGAATGCTAGCATATTGGCTTATGGACCAACTGGAGCAGGTGAATATAAGGCAGTGCTACAAAGAAACCAAATGAAACCATAGCATCTTGGGGGTGGGAAATTGGGCTAAAAGGAGATGATGATGATGCCATACCGTTCTCATCTTGTCTCCTGCCAAATCATAGGCAAGACACACACTATGTTGGGAAATCCAGATCAGCCAGGAGTGATCCCTCGAGCTGTTCGAGATGTTTTGCAGATGACAAGGGAAGCTTCAGAAGATAAATGCCGATACTCTGTCTCTATGTCCTACCTGGAAATCTATCAAGAAAAGGTAAAAATGCATTGTTTACCCAATTGTACAAAGGGGAAATTGAGCCCGCTAAGTATAATGGCGCAGAATGACAGGATTTTTCTGGGAAGAGGGGGATTTAAAACATGGGAATAAAAAGTCAGATCTGACGGAGATAGCATGGCCAGTTGATCAGAGCAAGTGATTCCGTTGATGGATGCGATGTGGGCTTTGATTTCTTTTCATGCTGCATGATTTATACTCCTTTTAATGGAAATGTGTTGAATATAAACACACTACCTCTTGTTTACTAATTGGTATAGGAAGAGCTGGACAATCCTTTCTACTTTCATTCAAGGTTATTTGAACAAGTTATGGGAACTGAAGCAAGGCGCAGGGGGAGTCAGAGTGCAGATGAAGTGGAGTTAGGCATTCAGACATAATTTCTGATATTCCTCGCATTTCTATTCTTTTCTAATAACTTTGCCTATCTCTCCCTCCCCCAGGAAGTAAACTTAGGAATAGATATTTATTTATTATTTGGTGCTTGTACATTGAGAGCCAGGGAGTCTACAATGTTATTACAGAATAGTTTGCTGCCTAAGATTACTAGATTGTTTAGTTCACACTCACGCACTATCCAGGGAGCAAACTAATTAACACACACAATGGCTAATGTTGCTGTCATCCAGGACTTTTTCCTCCACTGATTTTTGCCTTGCATTTGGGCAAGACCAACACCAGTTGATTTATTTCTATCACACAAAGTGCCATTAGCGTCCCACCAGACTGGTCCTTATATATCTACTTGCATTTTGCATGCTTTCGAACTGCTAGGTTGGCAGAAGCTGAGGCGAGTGACGGGAGCTCATTTCCATCACATGGTGGTAGGGCTTAAACTGCTGGAGTACAAAGAGCTGAACTTTTCTGATTGGCAAATCCAGCATCTTTAATCTACTGAGCCACTGCCCCCCTAGGGATGGATATCTCTCATGGAAGAGTATATGTGTACCTTGGGGTTGAATTGAGGCAGGAGGGGGAGAACAGGTAAATACCCCAATGCTTTCTAAGGTTATGAGACCTCAGTTTCTACAGCATAAATCAATGTTGTATGCTTAATATGGCACTTTGATTCACTTTGATTTCTTACTTCCTCATAAGTGTTACAAATCTTAATGGAACAGTGTGGCAAGATGCTGTACAAGGAAGGGCACAGGGAGCCAACCGTGGGTGTAAGATAGTGCAAGGATGAAATTGCATAAAACTGTTTGTACTACTTGAAATATATTGGAACTTCTCTTTTTGTAATTTTCCTATTAACTACCTCGTTTGTATTTTTTCAAAAGATACTTCTCTGTTTTAATAAGGGGCTTTACTTTTAGTATGAAAACGCCTTCAAATAATCAAGTTTGAATCAAGGTATAAAAACCAATGTCCTGGGTGGAGATTTTGGTGTCTGAACACGCTGAATTCGATGCATCAATAAACCTGTCTCTCTTGCACCTTCGTGGTCTCACATCCCTTTTTTCTTGAGCTTTGTGGCGAAAGCCTCAATCAGCTGCAACAGAATGACATTTATCACGTTTAGAAATTGATGATGCTAGCTATACTCATAAAAAATGTCTGCAGGAAAACAGTCAAGCTCAGAGAACCGTAAGAACCTAATATATACCACTTATCGGAAATCTCAGTTTGACCTTTTGAAGAAAGATTTTGAATTTAAGCCAAAATCTTAATTAAAGTAGACCATATTGCTCAATCTTAGCAACTTTAAGCTGTGTGTGGACTTCCATTCCCAGAATTCCCCAATCAGTATGGCTGGTTGAGGAATTCTGGGAGTTGAAGTCCACACAATTTAAAGTTCCTGAGGTTGACCACTAATACTGAAGTACACCATAAAGACTACAGGGCCTACCCTGGCCTAACTGACTGGTGGTGCAGCATTTATCCCTTATCACTTCCTGCTGTTCCATGGCTCCCTCAGAGACGTCTCTATGCTTTGATGCCCCCTGATATTCTATATTGTCCCTTGCTGGAATTATTTCAGTTCCAAAGATTGATGAAGAACTGAGGCATGACTATTTGGAAAGAGCAGATGGCAAGGGAGCACTTGCATAGGAGAAATGAAAAAACCCACAAGCTTAAGGAGTAACACACGGCTGTCAAACTCCCGGCCCATGTGTCAGGCACTGGCCACGCCTGGTTTAGCAAAGGGGGGGGAGTCCTGCAATGTCACATGATCCTGCTGTGCCAACGCGAGTTTGACACTCCTGGACTAGAGGAAGGCAAAAGAACGCTAATGGCTACAGAGAGTGAAAGAGATGAAAGGATAAGAGAGATAAAACGTGTAGGACTGTCTTAGATGGGGTTGGCTGAGCCTGAGGGCAGTGTCAAATGCACCATCAGTTTAGAATCACTATGCTCCAAGATCTAAGAACAGCTCTCCCTTGAAATCTGTTAACTCTTACCTGGTGCCAATTTGCCTTGACCATCACTAGATCAGAATTCTGTGAAGAGGTAGCAGGAAATAAATTCATAATGCTTTTGAATTCTCTCTGGGTTCCTACTTTTCTATGTCTGACCCATGTGAAGAAAAGACTGGAGAGAAGAAAGTGTGGGAGTTTGTAGTTCTCAAGATTTTGCTGGATTCCAGCTATCCTCAGCCCAGCTATAATGGCTATTGCTGAAGGATGATGGTTCTCATGGCAACAACAGAAATTTAACTGAGTGTTAAGAAGGAAAAAGCCTCTTATACCTGAAGTATAATAGGCAGGAAAAAGGCTCATTTGACTGAAGACTGAAATGAGTATCTTAAGAGAAAAATGAAAAACCAATGTAGAATTGATTAAGGACACTGGCATTTGAGGAACAAGATTTGAAAAAGTTTTTTTCTTTTTAAACAACTTAAAAATCAGTGCCTAGATTACACACCTTGGGGAAAATGTTCTTGCTGGAATGCATCAGCTTATCTGGGGGGAAAATAAACAAGCAGTTGAGGGGCGTGTGTGAAATTCCAAATCCACCATCCATTTTTCCTCCATTTCTCAGGTTTTGGACCTTCTTACGCCCTCCCTCCGAGACCTGCCTATCCGAGAGGATCGTAACCACAACATCCTGGTGCCAGACCTGACCCAGAAAGAGATCACTAGCGTTGCAGACTTTGAAAGCCATTTTCTGCCCGCGAGCAGAAAGCGAACAGTGGCATCAACTCAGTTGAATCAGCGCTCCAGCCGCAGTCATTCTGTATTGCTGGTTCTAGTGAACCGTATCCGGGACTTGCCCACATATTCTCACCAGACTGCGAAGCTGTGCCTCATCGACTTAGCAGGCTCTGAGGACAATCGACGAACAGGCAACCAAGGCCTACGCCTGAAAGAGAGTGGAGCCATCAACAGCTCCCTCTTTGTGCTCAGCAAGGTGGTTGATGCCCTTAATCAGGGTTTGCCTCGGGTTCCCTATAGAGACAGCAAGCTGACCCGATTGCTGCAGGTAATTGGGGTTCTTTTTTTCTCTCCCTGGGATCGGAAGGAGTTGGCATCAGAGAAAGATCTTTCATCCGGAATCTCTCTTTCCTCTAGGACTCTCTGGGAGGCAGTGCCCACAGCTTGATTATTGCAAATATCGCTCCAGAGAAGAAGTATTATTTTGACACTCTCACAAGCCTCAACTTTGCTGCAAAGTCCAAGCAAATTGTGAATAAACCCTTCACCCAGAAAGTCCTACCACAAACTGGTAAGAAATTATGAGGTCTGGGCTTTGGGGGAAAGCATTGGGAATTCTGGAAGTTTGACAGTTCGGAAGGCACCAAGCAAAAACTTTCCATGATTAAATTAAATCAGAAAATATTGGTGTTAATTGCTCTTCCCAGAAAGCCTAGGTAAGTGATAGGAGTGTAGTGTACCTCTTCATCATGGCACCTACATTCTAGAACATTTTCCCAAGATCTAGACCAGCCATGCTGGCTGGGCAATTCTGGGAGCTGGTCTACATATCTCCAAGCTGAGAAACAGCTTACACAAGCTTTTAATGGATGTAGTAAAGAAGATGTTTCCAAAGGTTCAGGGACAAAAAAAGTTAATCAGATTTAAACCTTATGTAGGTAGTTGGAAACCAGCAAAGCCTGAGGAAACTGAAAGTCCGCATAACCATTCAGAAGCAGAGAAATCTCTCTCAGGTGAGTTCATGAAAAGGGAGGAGGGCTGACTTAATTTTACCTTCACCATTTTGTGGAGGTGAGATCTTTCTTCAGCCTTAGCATTTCTCAGTCAGAATTGAGAGGTCACTAGGAGTTCTGCCGCAGATTGTAATTGAAAATATATATATATTTTTCAACTTCCGTGCACAGCACAATGCTAGCAATCATGGTGATGGAATGTTTACACATTGCATTCGGCTGCTGATTTGTTGTTGTAAATGTTATAAAATGTGGACCCGTGTGGGTTAGAAGCATATTTTCATTGTTAAATTTTTATATTTTCTGGTGATATTTATGCCATCATAAACATCTGACAGTTCCCTGAGATCTGAAAATTATTTCAAATATTTCTCTTTGAAATAATAATCTGTATTATTCTTATGTCTTAATCTGTATTTTGTAGGTTCCTATCTGATAGATGGGATGTGTTGAAAACTGGGATCCATGAAATTTTTTTGCCCTTTTATCTTCATTTCTCAAGGAGCTCCTTAATCATAATCTACATAATAAATGTGGATCTTTTTCTAAACATTCTGACAAGGAAGTCACCCTCCCAAGTATTTCACTTTTCTGGCTGCAGAAAGGGCCAGAAAACCGGAGTTCCACTTCCTTCTTTCTGAGTAAACACTGGGATTTTCTGTATAGAGAGTTGGTGGGGAATTAAGGGGCCAACCTATGAAATTATAGTGGGTTTCAGACATTAAGTAAAATATTGCCTTATTTTCCTTCCATGACAGAGAAGTATCCTTAGAAATTTTCTAAATCGTGGAAAGAAAGGATCTTCCAAAACATGGCAAATGAAGGCCCATATTCCAAATTCACTTATTTGTTATCCACTGCAGTCAAACAATTCTTTCCAGATAACGAGAGAGTTATTAGTTCATTTGTTAAGGACTTTGTGAAAAAGGGGCTCAGATGATCCTGAGTGGGATCTTGTGGCTCTCTGAGTTGCTTTTTTTCTTGCAGACATTTCATTACCCAAACTAGGTTACATCATCAGTGCCAGTAAGGAATGCTGTTTGCTGTCTGTTTATATTCTATATGCTTGCCAATCAGTGTTGGTGGGGGTGGTCTTAGAGATTCTTTGGTTGTACCCCAGTCAATACTCCCAAGAAATTATCAAAGAGCCAACAGCCCAACCAAAGAATCTCTAAGCTCACCTCCACCAACACTGACAGGTAATAGAATATAAACTGACAGCAAACTACATTCCTTCCTTGCACTGATGATGTAACCTAGTTTGGGTAATGAAATGTCTGCAAGAAAACAAGCAAGGCCAGACAGCACCAAGGACCCCTAAGCTACAAAAAAATCCCCTTTACTACTGCTTTCATCTATTTGCAAATAAATACGCTGGCACAGGGGTGCCCAACCTTGACATCTTTAAGACTTGTTGAATTCACAGAATTCCTCAGCCAGCATAGGAGTTGATGTCCACAAGGCTTAAAGATGCCATGGTTGGGCACTTTTGAGCTAGAGTGTACTTATCCAGGTTCCAAGACTCTGTAATCAAACTGCTTTTTTTGCAATAACATTAATTATTAATGTTATTAGTTCATGAGATTAATGAGACTTTATATGGTTATATCTTTACATCCTTAGCTGGGTTCTGCTTCTGCTACTACAGCTTGTGGGACAGTAAAGGTAAAGGTTTCCCCAGCTCAGTCTTGTCTGACTCTTAAGGGGTAGGTGCTCATCTCTGTTTCTTAGCCAAGGGAGTCTACCTTGTCCAAAGATGCCTCTGGGGTCATGTGACCAACATGACTATATGCCAAGGTGCTTGTGGAACAATAGACTATTATATTGGAGACTACAGCTGAGAACACTTTCCTGGCAATTTTTCCATCTTACCTGATCTTATAGTTTCCAAACAACAAATTTTTTAAAAAGGAAGTTGCCTTTTACAAATTCAGTTTGTGGGGCCTGTTTTAATGCTCTTTTTATTTTGACACATGAGGGAATGATTTTGGATAATGTACAACATAAAGGGCAAAATCATAATGTAAGATATAAGGTTCCTTTTCCTAAAAGCGACAATGGAGTTGGACAATAGAGAAGAGACAGGTTTTGAGTATTTCATTTTTATATCAGATAAAATGAATGGCTATGTTCTGACAATGTTCTGAGTCACAAAAGAGCCAGCCAGTTTTAGCCTACAGAATTGTACAAAGCAAGCCTTGGTGATTAGTTTTATGGATCCGCCTATCATGCAATGGCAGGAATTGAATTGACTGAATACCGTTAATGACCTCGACTTATGACCACAGTTGAGCCCAAAAATTTCTATTGGTAAGCAAAAAGAGTTCGTGAGTTTTTGCCCCATTTTACCACCTTTCCTGCCACAGCTGTGAAGCGAATTACTACAATTCTCAAGTTAGTAATAGGGATGTTAAATGAATCTGGTTTCCCCATTGACTTTGCTTGTAAGAAGGTCGCAAAAGGTGATCTCATACTGCGGAGCATCCACATTTTGATCACGGGACCAGGGAAGACGCTGCAACAGTCGTGTGAAAAACAGTCATGAGTCACTTTTTTTGGTGCCATTGTAACTTTGAACACCCATTAAACGAAGGGTTGTAAATTGAAATTTACCATTAAACCATGACTGTTGGACCAAGATAGCTAATCTTCTTCTTCCACAGATGGCAAGAGGCCATGTCCGGACTTCAGTGATGGAAGCCCTGAGGCCAAGAGACCTTGCCTACAAGAGGGGAACAGCCAGGACCATCCGAAGAGAAGCCGCTCAGGTGAGTCATCAAGTATTTGGTAGATTTGGGTGCAGTCCGGTTCTTTATTCCACAGAGCCAAGCCGTTTCCCAAATGCCAAATCGAGAAGGGATTGTTGCTCTGGCTGGGGTGTTGGAAGAGAGAGAAAGAATCTGACACGGAATTGATCTCTTTTTTTTTTTTGTACCAGTTGTTTGCTGCCTCTTGAGAATCTTAATCCCATTTTGGCTGAACGAATGCTACGATTAGAGGCCCTAGAGAAAGAAAAGGCTTTGAGCTGTACGATACCTCTCCTTGACACACCACGCAAGGAACGCCTGAATATTCTCAAACTCTTGTATGAGACACGCTGTGAACTGAAGGTCTGTCTTTTGTCTTTCCATTGCTCTGTTTTGGTGATTTGGTGAGAATAAGCAAAATAATACCTTGGTACTCAACTGCTTTGAAACTCATCGAATTTGGTATTCAATGCACAAGCTAGAACTTGTCGGTGTTGGTTGCCTTGTGACTCTCTACATTATTCCTTATGGGAAAAATCTGGTACTCATCGTTTTTGGTACTCATTGTGTTTCCTGGAACCAATTAGTGATGAGGACCAAGGCATCATTGTAATAGGAATGCAATGTATAGTTGGATGATTGGATTAATTGGTTAAAAAGTGCTTAATTGATTAAAAAATTAGCCCTCATTAACCACTCAGATTTTTAGAAGAACGCCGGGCTTTTATCTATTTTTAAAAATAAAATTCACCCATGCTGAAAATTGAGCAAAATAACTAAGGCACTTATTTCCTGTTTTATACACATAGGAATATTTCTGCTGAGTTGAAGCTTTTTAAAAGAAATGTATATTGTCTTCAAAGCCTGTATGCGAATCACAAATGGATTCATTTGATGGAAATATATGAAACCCTAAGCATTTCGTCTGATAATTGCTCTTTTCTTTCTTTTGTCATCTTCACCTCTTTGCCAGCTACAAAGACTTTCCTCTGAGAAAGATAGAATGTAAATGTATTGGTCCCAACAGCCTAGTGGAATATATTATGGTGTCTTCCTCATCCATCCTCTCATCTATATCTTGTTAGCTGTAAACCAGTGATTGAAGATAGGATTGAATCTCCCATTAGCCTTGACCAATAAGGTACCGTATTTTTCAGAGTATAAGATACTTTTCTCCAGTGCGCTGCTTGGAGAGTCCAAGCATGGGTTAACACAGTCTATCTGCCCCTGGACTGAGTGAGTTTTTTCTTTGACCAGGCTTCCCTTTGCCTCCTTAATTTCAGTTTAAAAACTCAGTCCACCTGTTAGGACTAATTAGGGGAGCTCTTCAGTCCAAGTGCAGATAGACTGGTCTCACCAAGAATTAATTACCTTACCATCGTATAGAATTTTACCTTAACAGGACAGAAACCTACAAAGTTGATATTATTGTTCGCTGAGAGGTTTGCTGGGCCATTTTCTTCCCCGCTGATCACAAGCTGGGTCGGAATGTGTGAATTGCTTGTCCGGCAGCTGCTGTGCTCCCTTTCCTGTCCGGCAACAGCAGTGTCCATTTTAGGTTGTTCGCATGCTTTCTCTTCCTTGACTGGCATTTTAGCGGGCAGAGGCTGCGCACGCAGCGGCCGCCATTTTCTTAGCTCCAACTTGCAAGGGAGCCCTGTGGAGCACGTCTGGGGCCAGAAAAGGAGAAAGTCAATTTCAAACTTACCTCTCAGCCGCAGATTACCGCTGGGAGGTGCAGGGCCTAGTCTGGGGCACCGGCTAGTCCTGCCTTCCCGTTTTCCAACACTTGGGGACCCGAGAGCGGTTGGAGAAAGGGATCTGTCCTTCGGGCGGCCCTCTCCTTCACAGAAGATCTGCGGCACACTTGAGCTGGCCGGCTAGCGCCTGGTGCCTGTTTACTGCAAGTTCCGAGAGTCCTTTCACCCATTCGGGGCCTATGGGCAGCATGGCTGATGACAGTTTGGAGGTGCAGGCAGGGCCCTTCAACAAACGCAGTAGGCTGGACCCACCGCCCAAGGGGGGAAAGGGCACCACCAGGATGTCTTCCCCGGAGCCCTCAGGGACCATTGACAAGGCCAGAGGGAGTTCCCGCCATCTCAAGCCCACAGAGGCAAAGGCCCTGCACGCCCATAGGCCGCGACACCCCCCCCCCCCCGAGCAAGGGGATCTTCCACCTGGGCCCCCCTCTGATCATGTTGGGGGAAGAGACTCCCCCTCCATTCGGGACAGTAGGTCCCCGTCCATAGGGGAGGAGGATTCGAGGGAACCCTCAGGGAGGAACTGGAATCCTTACAAGGTATTCTTCCTGCGGAAGAAGGGACCAGTTCAGGCAGGCATAGGAATTGGATGGCTTCAAGCAGGCATCACCCAAAGGAAGATAAGAGCCCCGCCTTATCCACAGAAATGAGGGAGGTCATCTCCATAGCCATCTCCCAAGGCATAGCGGAGGGCATTAGGCAGAAAAAGGCCCATAAGCCCGGGTCCTCTAAGGCTAAGCAGTCCTCTGCAGCCACCGCTACCCACCGCTACACTCTCCAGGCACCTCGGTGGCCACGGTGGATTCGGCCTGGGAGGATGAGGAGCCTGAGGAATTCGAACTATCGGAGGATGAAGATCTTCCTCCTGATAAGCCGGCTTTCACCAGTCTATTCAAGCGCTCCTTATTTAAATCCATACTCCACAAGGCCAAGGCGGCCACTAAGCTAGGTTCTACTCCTAAGAACACTAACGTACCGGCTTCTTCCTCCAAAGGCCCCAAAAAAGGTCTATTCAAGGAGACGTCCCCCACTCAAGAATTAATTCCTGTTCCAGATCTATTTATGGACGTAGTCCAAAGACAGTGGGTTCAGCCCGGTACGTTAACCAATCCTAGCAGAGGGGATAAATCCCTTTACTCTGTGAAGAGCAGGATGGAAGATGTATTGAAGTTGCCCGAGGAGGATGCCCCGGTGGTCTCTTTGACCTCTAATTCAAACCTGCCAGCTAACCTTCTGGAAGGCCTCAAAGCCGAAGACAAAAGGTCAGAGAAGACATGTCATAAGACACCTCAGGCAGCCGCCTGGGCCATCCGGGCATCCACCTCAGCATCCTTTTTCACCAGAGCAACTCTGCTCTGGCTGAGACAACTTAGGTCCAAGCCTCCCTCCGGGGAATCCCGGTGGCGACAAGACCTCAGCAAAATCATTAGAGCTGTAGAGTACTCAGTGGATGCCTCGCTGAATGCAGCAAAATTTGCCTCCAGGGCATTGGCGTCCAACATAACCTATCGCTGCCTCCTGTGGCTTCGCCACTGGTAGGCAGACATGAAGGCGAAGTGGAAGTTGGCTTCCACTCCCTTCAAGGGGGACAGTTGTTTGGGGAGGCTCTGGACAAATTTGTCATTGAAACAAAGGAGAAATGTAAGATTCTTCCGGCCACCCTGAAGAAGAACGAGCGTAAGAGCTCAGGTTCTTTTCGGAAGCAGTCCTTTCGAGGCCAGGATGCTGCCCAGGCATCCACCTCCTCTTCATACCAAAGATACTACAACCAAGGGGGCGATAGGAATCAGGATAGGAACTCCTTCGGGCCACGTAGCAGGCAGCAACAGCATTCCTTTTGGAAGCCATTTCGCAGGGGCAACAACAACTCCCACCAATTCCATAGGGGCAAGTGACCATCACAGGGTCCCTCCCATAGGAGGTCTGCTTCAATTATACACCGACAAGTGGGAGATTACCTCAGACTCGGAGTTCCTCAATACAATCAGGAAGGGCCTGGTCCTAGAGTTCCTGTCCTTTCCCCAAAGGAAGTTCATTCATTGCCCGACCCCAAAGAATCCGGTAAAGAGGGGGCTCATGCAGGAGGAGATCCTACACCTGCTCCAAATGGAGGCCATAGAGTCTGTCCCACGGGGTCAGGAGAAACAGTGCTTCTATTCCATCCTGTTTCTAGTCCCGAAGAGTTTTTTTGGGGGGTGGAGGGCCATCTTGGACCTGAAAAGCCTGAATCAGCATCTGGCTTACAAAAGGTTTAAGATGCAATCCCTCCACTCTATCCTGGATTGCATAAGACAGGGAGATCTACTGACATCTATAGATCTAAAGGAGGCCTACCTGCATGTCCCCATCCATGCTGCCCACAGGAGGTTCCTGAGATTCTATTACGATGGGAGGCACTACCAATACAGGGCTCTTCCCTTCAGCCTCTCATCTGGACCCAGTACCTTCACAAAGATCCGGCCCACCTCCGGAACCGTCCGATCCGTCCAGAATGCTATCTAGACGACATCATTATCCACTCCGCAAATCCAGGCCAGGCACGACAAGACGTTCAGGTGACTATTCGGACGCTGCAACGGCACGGCTTCTCGGTGAACCTGGAGAAGAGCCATCTCAAGCCAACCACACGCATCCAGCACCTGGGCACCATCATCAACTCGGATTGACTGCAAATCTCAGGAGAACAGTGCGTCAATGCCGTCAGTCCAGGTTGGTGCTGATCATCAGACTATCCCAATTCCTGGGCATCATGATTTCTTGTCTGAAGGTGGTTCCCTGGGCACGTCTTCATACCAGGGAACTACAGTGGTTCCTCCCGATGCAATGAGCGAAGACCAGCAATTCCTCCAGGCGAGCGCGACCTCCACAGAAGGTAATTTGATCTCTAGCCTGGATGAGGACGATGGCAGACGAAAAGGGGTGCCTGTTCAAGGAACCCGAAAGGGTCGTGGTGACTACAGACGCCAGCCTTCAGGGATGGGGAGCATACTGTCAGGGCCAGCTCGCCCAAGGCCAATGGTCTCTGAAGGAAGCCGCCCACAGCATAAACTGGCTAGAACTGAGGGCAGCACGCCTCGCTCTACGATGATTTGCGACACTGATTGTGGGCCGACATGTTTTATTACTGACGGAAAATGTAGCAACAAAAGCTCACATAAACAGGCAAGGCAGCACCCATTCCAGGAGCCTCATGACAGAGGCAGAGTTCCTGGGCAGCTGGGCAGAACATCATTAGCCTCTATCAGAGCGGGCCACATTTCCGGAATCAGCAATCAGGAAGCAGACTGGTTGAGTCGGCAGCAGATCAACCACTTGGAGTGGCGTCTACATCCAGACCTGTTCAAACAGATCGTGCGGAGATTCAGCAAACCGCAAGTAGACCTATTTGCCACACACACCAACACACAACTGCTACGATTCTTTTCCCGTTATCATTCTCCGTGGATGGAGGGGACAAATGCACTGAGGTGCAGGTGGCCCCCAGAACTGTTATACGCATTTCCCCCTCTGCCTCTCATTCCGCAAGTGATGTCCAAATTACTGGCGGAGAGAGCAGAGATCCTCCTGGTGGCACCATTCTGGCCCAGGAGGTCCTGGTATGCAGACCTTGTCAGTCTCTCCATCAGGAAACCATGGAGGATTCCTCAGGATCAAATCCTCAGCCAAGAGGCCGTCAGTCAGTGGCTGCAGTTAGCCGTCTGGCACTTGAGGGGGAACTCCTGAGGAAGCAGAACATTTCTGACAAGGTTATACAAACCATCCTAGAATCCAGGAGACCTTCCACCACTAGGATATACGATACGAACTGGGTCGCATTTTCCACCTGGTGTGAGACTAAAGGTATCAAAAGACATTTCTGCTACAGTCCCTCAACTTCTGGACTTTCTGCAGGAGGGTCTGGACAAGGGATTAGCACCTCACATGCTCCGTCAAGTTGCGGTCTTGTCCACCATTCTTACTAGAGGCTCTTCTTGCCCGCTGAGTCAGCATCTGCAGGTCAAAAGCTTCCTGAAGGGCGTGGTGAATATCAGCTGAGACAGGTGTCTGAACTGGCGGCTCTCTCCGTCAGGGAAGACCTGTGTCTTGTACATACTGACAGAGTCACACATTTATCCCTAAGGTCAACACTCAATTTCATAGAGCTCAGGAAGTGATTCTTCCTAACTTTAAGCCTTCTCACCCTAGGGAATGCAGTTGGCATAAGCTGGATGTGAGACGTGCTGTAAGCATTTATATAAAGAGGACTAGGGAGTTCCAACGCTCCGAATCCTTCTTTGTGTCATTCCACCCTGGGTCACTGGGCCGCAGGGCATCTTCTCATACCATCAGCCGTTGTGTGCCTGCATCAAACTGGCTTACAAGCATCAGGGCAAGACCGCTCCAAGCCGTGTGACCGCTCATTCAACCAGGAGCGCAGCTACTTCAGCAGCATGGGCGACCCTGGCATCCATTATCGACATTTGCAGAGCGGCCACGTGGGCCTCTCCCACTGCATTTATCAAGAACTACAAAATCGACACCTTTGCCTCAGCCGAAGCCTCCTTCAGAAGAGGAATTCTGCAGAAGGTTGCAGAGGCTCAGGAGACTTCGGTCACTACCCACCCTGGGACACAATAGCTTGGGTATGTCCCATGCTTGGACTCTCCAAGCAGCACACTGGAGAAAGACTGTTGGCTTACCTGAACGGTCATGCTCTGGGCGCTGCGAGGAGAGTCCAAACCCGCCCAGGCTCTTCTCAAGGGTACAGGACTTTGACTGCTGTTGACTGTGAGTGGGACTCCTGTATGGTTGCTTCTTCGTTTTTAAACTGAAATTAAGGAGGCAAAGGGAGGCATGGTCAAAGAAAAAACTTACTCAGTCCAAGGGCAGATAGACTGTGTTAACCCATGCTTGGACTCTCCTCACAGTGCCCAGAGAACGACCATTCAGGTAAGCCAACGGTCTTTTCCTCCCAAAAAGAGGCTGAAAATTTGGGTGCATCTTATACTCCAAATGTAGCTTTTTCGAAGCTTTTTTTCAGCCCTAATGAGTGAAGCGATCTTCCGTGCTTTGCTTACTTTTCTCATTGCTTCTCTCCTACGATTAGCTATGCTTTAGAAGCTGCTTTTTATCCCCAACTAGGGGATCCCCAACGTGTGTGCACGCTCAAAACCAGCAAACTTATGTGCTGAAGCTGACCAAACTAAGGACGCTAGCCAGATGAATACCTGGTAGGCAAAATATTTTTTTTCCTATTTTCCTCCCAAAAAACTACAGTGTGTCTCATACTCCGAAAAATACGGTATTTTTTAAAAGATTAAATATTTGCTCTGCTTTGATCCTGAGCAAGTTATTGCAGTGTCTGTCTATCCCGTTATGATGGAAGTTCTTCTTTCTTGGAAGCTTATGAATAGAATAGAATAGAATAGAATAGAATAGAATAGAATAAGAGATTTGGAAGGGACCTTGGAGGTCTTCTAGTCCCAACCCCCTGCTTAGCCAATCTCTTCTTAAAAACTTCCAGTGTTGGAGCATTCACAACTTCTGGAGCAAATTATTCCACTGATTGTTTTAATGAGACCCAGAATTCCTTCCAGAATGATTCAGTGTTGTGGGAATGGCAGATGTTATACTTCAATGTGGTAAAAAAATTAACACTGAATAATCTGATTTCTGCTGTGTTGATCCTGTCCAGTTCACACATTCAGAAAAGTAACCATATAGTACTATTCATGTTCACAATAAGCAATAAAGGAGGGAAGCACTTAGAAGCAAAAGGTTAATAGAGTGGAGACTTAGAGGACGATAAAATGGAGGCCAATGAACCAGAGATGCATGGGCCCAGTTCTATTTTAATGGAATGGTAAAGAGAGAAATTAAAAAGGGAGGTATTTAGATGGAGCAGGTAACCCCAAGGAGATACGGTATCCGCTGTTAAATAAATTCTATGCCACTTCTGAGGCATAACAATAGAGGTGATGATTGACTGCCATAAGATTATGTTTGAACTATTAGTCCAGTAATAGTCTTTTCTTTTCCAAAGAGACATCATGATTTTTTTTCCCTTTTCCCCACCTATACCTTAAATTAGCACTTATTTTGCCCCTGCTTCTTCCAGAGCGTTCAAGAAAAACAGTTAAAAATAGAAGCCCAAACTCTGGAGAACAAGGGTACGCCGTTCCCCCAAGCTTCAAAACCCCGAAAACAGGCCACAGTACTGCCTCTTCAACAAGGTGAGAAGGTTGGGAAGGTTTATGAAGTCAGGCCTTCCTTTTTCTCCTGTGTTTGCTTTATTTGCTTTATTTTCCTCTCCAGTGCATATACCTGTCAATAATCAGCAAGAAGAGGAGAATGTCATTAAGAAACAGAAGAACAAAGGCAGAAAGAAAAAGGTAGGTAAATTGGTTTTGGCTTCATTTTGGTGAAAAACAGGAAGAGTAGAGAATTTTTCTCCAGCCAATTTACTGTATGTATCACAGTTTTTAAGATAACTTACAAATATACCAGAACAGAGGTATCTCCTGGGAAGGAGCCATTTCAACCTGTCAATTAGAAACTTAAGTTCTCCATAGATGAGGAACTCATCAAATTTGCAGATGACACCAAGCTGCCAGGAATAGCCAACACTCCAGAAGATAGTCTTAAGATACAGAAGGATCTTGAGAGACTTCAGTAATGGGCCTCATCTAACAAAATGAAATTCAATGGTGAAAAAAATAAGGTTCTGCATTTAGGCAAGAAAAACCAAATGCACAGGTACAGTATAGCTGGCACCTGGCTCAATAGTAGTAACTGTGAGAGGGATCTTGGAATCCTAGTGGACAATCACTTAAATATGAGCCGGCAGTGCTGCAGCTGCCAAAAACCCCCAAACACTTCTAGACTGCATTAACAGAGGGATTGAATCAAGATAACGTGAATATCACTTTTTAATGCCTTGGTAAGCCCACACTTGCAATACTGCACCCAGTTTTTGATGCCACAATGTAAGAAAAAGGTTTAGACTCAAAAAAGAGTGCAGAGAAGAGCAACAAAGATGATTACGGGAATGGGCAAGCAGCCCTGAGAAATAGCTTTGTCCAGAGACTTCTCAAACCTGGTAGTGCTTCTGCGTCTTGTCATGGCTTCAATGTACAGGGAGCCACCAGGCAGAAGAAGTAGAGGTTGGTCACTAATTCTGCAACCATTGAAGATCAACACAGATACCTAACAGTTAATGAGGAAAGGACCATTTGGGAGGAGTGGGAGCATGTTAGCAAGATAAAAACTTGAATGTGTCCTAGCTGGGGCAAACTTGAAATTTATTTTGAGGTATGCTTTATCACAATTGCTACATGAATGTAGCTGATATGTTTCTTTTTATTAAGACAATAATTCTTGAGGATAATTAACAGTGGGTGGGTAGGGAGGTAAATTGAGACTTGCTAATTATGAATATTTAGGCATAGATCATATATTACCCCTGATAGGTAATAGGTATACATAATTTACCTACAGTATGCATCTTGACTATCTTTCTCCTTTCCTGAAATGTATAAATGTGCATCCTTTTGTCTGTGAGTCCCTTTGCCAGGTGTTTCCCAAACCCTCCCATTATTTTCTGGAGGGAATTACTCCAGCGCAGACTGAATCAACAATTACTTTGTGAGCCTTGATTCTCAGTTTTGAGATCCTGCGTTTGATTTCACAGTGTACTCTGATGCAATCAAATTGATAGTATCTGTTGTGGCCTGCCAACGGCTAACAGAGCTGCAGCAGAGTCGGACAGTGAGGAGTTGGGGAGGAACATGGGCCAGTCCTGGAGGCTGGGAAGGCTCAGATGAGGGCTCTGCGTCAGGAGCAGAGATGGGGCCAGGGCCGTCTGACAGTGATCAGATGCCTTCGGAGCTAGACAGCAGTGAGGCAGAGGAACAGCTAGAGCCTGTTCCCAGTGTGCGCATGGGCAGAGCTGCCAGAAGAAAAGAACAACTCAGAAATCAGGGTAGACTTGGGAGTAAAATCACAGGTGGAAGGTAATTGGCCCCTCCCATAGGACATAAAAGAAGAGTGAAAGGGGAGAGGGCTTTTGCAGGAAACAATTAGTTCGATCAGTTGTTAGATTCGTTTCCGAAGTGTGAAGGTCTGTCCGTAAATCTCAAGAGACTCTGTGGCCAGTCTTTCCTTGCCCAGCACCTCATTGGGAAAATATTTATATGGCAGCAAGATAGATAAGGTCTGTAATCATAAATATTCATTTGAAAGACTGTTTCTCAGACCTTGCTCAATGTGAATGAGAGGGATTCATATTCGTTTAATAAAATGGGTTTTGTCGGGACCAGGACTCTGCCTCGTGCTTTTTGGGGAAGCCTAGGTCAGAATAGGATCAGCAGATAATCTGTCCTTTGGGAGAAAGCTCTGAGCAGATCTCATAGCTTAGACAATCATTTCTTTGCCATGATTCTTGTCAATATTAATAGGAGGTGGGGGTTGATTTTAAAAGGTAGTCATGTTGGTCACTTTCTTTTTGTGTTTGTTCTTCAGATTCTAGACCTCGACTCTGAAAACAAGGCTCCCTCCAAATGTGAAGAGGAGATCAATCAAGATCTTGCCAAGACTAAACTCCTGTCCCTCTTGAACTCGGGTTCCATGAAGGATCTTATGGGTCTACACTACATTGGCAAGAAGAAAGCAGAGCTCATTGTGAACTGGAGAGAAAATTATGGATCTTTTCAGAAGGTTGGTGGTCTCAGAGGGTAGAGTTTATTTCGGACATATTCCTGACCCCCTAATTTCTCACCCGAGATAAGCAACTTTTTATCACCTGAGCTCCACGCTTTTTGTAAATAATAACAATCCAATTCCATTAATCGTGTGTTGCAGCCATTGTGTGCCAGCTTTGTTTGGGGCATAGAACTCATAAAGGTGACATCTGCTTAAGCATGGGATGCCCAACAGGGCTATTATTTGTAGTTAGGCTGCTGGAAATTCTTCAAAATTTAGATAATCCAGATTCAAAATCCTCATGGTATTGTACTTTATGCTGCAATAATAACAGTACTGCTATTGGTTTATTTTAAATGCTTGCAATCTTTCTTTGCAAATCTGGGTGTTTTGTAATCCTTCCCAATTCCTCCTCCCTCCACGAAGGGCATGGAAGTGTTGCACTGAAGATAGGTGATAGATATGTTAACCTCTAGTATACCGTATTTTTCGCACTATAAGATGCACCTGGCCACGAGACACATTCCCGTTTTCGGCCTCCATGTGCCTCATTTTTGGCCTCTGCGCATCCCGTTTTCTGAGGCCAAAAACTGGGGGTGCGGAGGCCAAAAAGTGGAAGGGTGGAGGTGGGCGGGACTTCAGCAATATTCACTCCATAAGACACAGACATTTCCACCCACTTTTGGGAGACAAAAAAAAGGGAATCTTATGGAGTGAAAAATACGGTAATTTATATCCTTTTATTGAACTTTCACTGCAACAAGCAAAGACAATATTCTACCACAACTTGATTATTTTGGTGGCACTATACAGGTTATCCTCAACTTACAACCATTCATTTAGTGACTGCTTGAAGTTGTAATGGCATTTTTAAAAAAAAGACTTATCACAGGTTTTCACACTTGCAGCGGTTGCAGCATCCTTATGATCATGTGACCAAAATTAATGTGCTTGGCAACTGACGTATATTGATAGTAGCAGGGTCATGTTATCACCCTTTGTAAACTTTGTAGCTGGCTTCCAACAAGCCAAGTCAATGGTGGAAGCTGGATTCACTTAACAACTGCAGTGATTTGCTTAACCACTCTGGCAAAAAGAGTTGTAAATGAGGCAAAACTCATTTAACCAATAGCCTTGGTGATGGAAATTTTGGGCTCAGTTGCGGACTATCTGTATTAGGGAGAGTTCTGTGGATCATAGTTAATATTTTTGCCTACTCTAAATGATGGGCTAATCCTTATTGCCGTGATGGCAAACATATGGCACATGTGCTGGAAGTGGCATGCAGAGCCATCTCTCTGGGCACACCAGCCATCGCCTGTTGATCTCCCGGATTCCGGTGCGTGCATGTGCGCTAGAGAGCTGGTATTCTTGTGCACATGCACGCCAGAAACAAAGACCAGGTGGCTGGCGCATGCAGGAAACCAGAAGCTCAGTTTCCCGGCATGCATATGTACGCTGGGGAGCTACTCTTCCGGTTTCCGGCACTCCCACCCATGCACGCTTGGGAGCTCCTCTTCCAGTTTCTAGTGCTCCTGTTTTGGCACTCAGTGCCAAAAAGGTTCACCAAGACTGCCTTATTGTATCAATTTTTTTTTCTTTTTATAGGTCCAGGACCTTGGAAAAATATATGGTATTTCTGCTAAGCAAGTAGATGCTTTTATTATGGTAAGTATTTAGTCAAGTTTCTACTCGGTACAGAAAAAGTTTATCTAAATTATGAAATGTAATTGGATCAGAATTCCAACTGGCAGGGAGTGATGCAAATTGTTATTCATCATCTGGAAATTCACCTTTGTGTAAGCCCCTCCCCATAAAAATAGGATATAACATGAATATTCTGTTCGATTATAGCAGTGTTTTTCAACCTTTTTTGTGCAAAGGCACACTTTTTTCATGAAAAAAATCACGAGGCACACCACCATTAGAAAATGTTAAAAAAAATTA